AATTCCGTCTTATCTCTCGTAATCCAGTTTGGACAAACAATATTATATTTGAAAGAGCTCTTCGAGATGAGTCGAATGACACCAAAAACGGCTTCAGGGGCTTCCGGACTCATCTATGTGCCGAGATTCGAGATTAGTCGCCTGAAAATCAAAATATTTTCATAACTTTGTTCAGAATCCTCCAATCGAGCAGATTTTAGTGTCATTCACTCTACTCGTCGAGCTCTTTCGAGCGTCATATTTTTTACCCAAATCGGAGTATGGGAGATATGACGGAATTTTTCCAAAAATTTCTTTTCAAAAGGCGTTATCTTGAAAACAAAAATCAATGGAAATATAATTTATGTAAATGTTTAGAAGAGAATAAAGACGAAAAATCCGAACAAGATTTGTCAAAATGTAAAAAATGTAGACTTGAAAAATGTCTTTCTGTTGGAATGAAAAAATTGGGTTTGTCAAAATAAGATTAAAAAACTGTCTCCTAGAAACCCCAACTGATCGGTTTATTGGTTACCGTTAACCAATCCGCTTATATCCGCCGATATCCCTCCAAATTACTTTTAAATTAATCACTAATCACTGTTAATCCCAAAAATCTCCCGATTTCCCTACAAATCTCCAATACTCTCTTAATTACTTCTAATCCATTTATATCCTCCCTTCATGAAAATTAACTGATGTATATACAAAGGAAACACCCGCTGTTATATTAAAATTTCTTAAATTGATCAGGAATTTTCCATTTTGGAGTCACAAGAGAAAATTTTGAGAATTTTCATTCTGTATGCAAAAGAATTCACTTTTTTTAATCCTTGACAAAATTATTTCTAATATTTAAAAAAAAACTCTTTAATTAAAAATTTTAGATGTTGGATATTTACGTAAAGATATATGCCGGGAAGCGATGGAAAAACAAAAAAGTGAAATTAACGTAAATTTATTTATTTTATACAGGAATTGTAAAACACTGTTACTGCAGACTAGGGTTGAGAAAACGTCTACGAAAATCGAATATTTAAAAAGTTCAAATTATCGAAATCTATGGAGATTTATTAAACTAATTTTAATCCTTCTATACCTCCTGAAATATGTTGAATACTCGAAGGAATAGGGCATTTTCATACCAACAAAACAAGAATTAAAATTCTCTCTATTTTTAAGATACAAAATTCCCCAAATGTTGACATAACCATCAAAGACCAGAACCTAATAAACTCACTTTTACCAATTATTGAAGCCCAAAAACGTATTATGCATGCATTTAATGATTTGGATGATATATTTCTTTATGGCCCGATTTTGTTTGAAGAAATAATTTCATCTAATTTTAATATTTTTCGTTTAACTGGCACTTTTTCGGTAAATTTTAATTAATTTTTAATAAAAAGCAATCCCATTTATAGCCAAATCCAGGTCCAATACCTTTAGATGAATTAAAAAGTTGGGAAGCTTCATTTCAAAATGAAGGAATGATTAACAAACGTTGCCACAAATATTTTTTAGTTGACAGACTTTTGTGTGTTGGTATAGCTAAATCTATGCCTGTTTTTGAGAAATTGACTTTATCTGATCAGGTGTTTTATATTTAGTTATTTTTTACTAGGGTTGTTGATGGACGGTTAACCGAACATGCTTGGCCTTACAAAATCTCGCCTGCGGCGCTTAAAATTGAAATCGGGGTTATTAGAGGGATATGTATTTGTTAGATATCATGAGATTTAAGGCCACCGATCATCGATATCCTTTAATCCCTCTACTCTCCTAATATTAATCCCTCTACTCTCCTAATATTAATCCCTCTACTCTCCTAATATTAATCACTCTACTCTCCTAATACCGCAAACTGAGTGCCAGACAAATTTGATCGGCTATAACTTTTTTGTGCTTAATAATATAAATGAATTTTATATTATTCGAAAGTCCGCGATAAGTTGTCAAGTTTTAAAGCTTATTTTTTATAACAGATTGCACATCTAAGGCAGATTTGTCATTTGTTTACCTCATTTACAGGCGCCTACCTAGCTTGGGAATTAGGCTCTGAAACTTGGACTCGTAAAGATAATGTTATGCCTGCTCTTGGTTTTAAGAAGCAATTTTTGCATGATGATAAGTAAATATTTTTCTGATAATTTTTCTAATAATTCAAAAAAAGAATTTTCTGACTTTCAATTTTTAGAATGATTAAATGGTCAGAATTTATATTTACAAAATCTGTTGCCCATTTTAAACGTGCTTCATTAACAAAAGTTGAATTTGCTTTGTTAATAGCTATTATTTTTACGAAACCGGGTAAACACTTTAATTTAAATTATGTGCTATGGCCGGTAAAACCTACAATCCCGATAATCCTGTTCTGAAATTCTAAATTTAACGGGATCCCGCGGGTTTTTATATAAAAATTTTCGTAATAATATTGAGGATATTAGTTGATCTGAAGGGATTAAGGTAATTAAAAGAATATCTGGGTAAAGAGGATTTTTAGTAATAACGGTGGATTTAAAATTATTTGGAGAATAAGCTGGATTAAGGGGGATCTGTAGATCAAGGAAAGTTGTAGGGTTGCCAGCAGATTAAGTGTATCGATATTTCCTATCACCACAAATCCCTCATATCTTTCCAGATCGCTTTATATCCTCCTAATCCTTCGATATCTATCCAAATCTACCAATATCGCTTTAATCCCTTGTATTTAATTTTCCTTTAATCCCTCCACATCAGGGTTGGGCGTTGCGGATTGCGTGCAATTTTTCGACTTTTACATCTTGGAATTCCAAAATTTAAAAATTTCGCCTGCGGCGCTGAAAGAAGAAAGTTTACAATTTGAAGGACAAAAATTCAAATTAAATAATCTTTAATTTTTTCATATAAAGATGCTGAAGGATTGTCTCCCGAAGGGAAAGAATTACTTTATAACGAATCTATTAAATATACAAATATTTTACATCGATATAATCAACGAAGATTAGGTTTAATTGAAGGGGCTCAAAGATTGGATGAATGTTTTCGTTTAATTAATAAAAGTATTGAAAATGGTTATACTTGGCGTTTAATGCTTTATCATCAACAAAAATATTATTCAATGAATGTTAGTTACTTTAAATGTCCAAACTTTATGACAAAACTTTTGGAAAGAAGTGATTAAAGAATGAATAATTTTATTAAAAAATATCTATCTTTTACCCCTTCATTTTATTCAAAAAATGTTACTCTTATTGGTTGATTCTGTGGCGGAAAATAGTCAAATAAACTACAATTCTACATTTTATTACTCCTATTCTTATTTTTTAATTTTATTTTTTTACTTCATTTCTTCCGCATTTTCTATTGACCTCCATCAATAAACACTATTAATAAATTTATTTCGACTTTTAAAAGTTAATAAGCGTAAATTTCCTATGTACGATTCATAAATTTCCTACAAAATTGGAAAACATTTTTGGGGTATTAATTTTTTAAGTCCACTGTAATATAAGCCCATCGCTACACGATGGCCGTGCTTCGCTGCGGTCTTGCTCGCTTCGCTCGCGGCGACCGTAGCGAAGCGGCGGCCGTCGTTCTGCTCGACATGCCCGGCTTCCTCCGCAGCGGCAAAAACTTTTTTCCGCGAAAACCTTGTGGAAGGGGTGAATACAAACGATCATAACTTTGTCAAATCAAGTCAGATTTCGATGATTTTGGTGTGATTCGTCTCAGCTCGGCTATAAAAATATTAAAAAATATAAGAGATAAAAAAAGTTATGCTGAAATGAATAGTGCCCGTTAACACACGGATAAGCGATCCAACCATTTTTAGATTGAAGCTAATGAAAATTAATTTTCGTTACATTTTTGTTTAATTAGCCGTTTTAAAATTTTATTTTTGTAAATGAAGTGAAGTTTTGTTTATCGAATAAAGCCTTTTAGCCACTATAGTTCGTTTTTTGTACCAAACTACATATTATCCCCTCAACAAAACTTGCCAGTCTTTAAAGATCTCTTTCAAGTTTTATTTAGAAAATTTATTTGTTTAGCCAAATCTAAAACATCAAAATCAAAAACGTTTCGCATAGCCATCGAAAAACTGCTTGGAAGAGATTTTTTGAAAGGGATATTTCACTTTTTGCCAACAAATTTTTGTATTAATGAAATTAAACGTAAATATTAATTGCTACTATTTAAAAATATTTATAAAGCTTATATAACCGGAGTGTGGCCAGTATAGCCCCTCAGTCCTTAGCTTTTTAAAATCAGTTTTATTTTATTATTACACTCTTTATTGAAGCATTGAAACAATTTCCCTACGTCAAATAATTATCCTTCACACATTTATACTCAGTCAAATAATACTGAACTGTGCTCTAGCTATTTTCCCTTCAGCTTATGTAAAAGGATAGGTCAAACTGATAAGTTTGTTATTCTTTACTCCTCGTCGCCTTTTAAGCCTTTGGAATTAAATGGTGTCCGGAAAATTGGGCTCTGGAAAATTGGACTCCAAGATCTTTCGGAAATACACTTTACAGTGTATATTATTAACCAGGCAAAAAATTAACCGGGCATTTTATTTATGGCGTATCTTTATTCAAATAAAAGATAAAAAGATTAATAAAGCTTAAATAATCGAGAATTAAATAAGGAACGAAAATAATCAAAAATTTTGGAAGTACCCAACTTTTAATTGAATACAGAGTCGAAGGCGCGAGGTAAAATTTTGAGAAAAAGTTCGAACCGCCTCGGATTGACAAAGCGACTCAAACTCTTGTCTTATTAAGAACACTCTTGCCTTCAAAATAGAATAAAAAGTTAATCTACCGGATTCAAATTCAATGAGTTCGGTGGCAGTATTTGAGACGTGTTAAAATCGGGTAACTGTAGTTAATAGATCTACAGAAACTGATTTTAAAAAACAAAAAATAAATTACAAAGCATCCCCCCTCTATCTTTTATTCATTATCTTTTAATTAAGCATTGTTAAAGAACTTTCGCCTTATTCGTTTAATAAAAAATACCAATTTAATTTAAAAATGCAAAGAAACTTTATTAGAACATGCAAAGTTTGTGAGTCAACATTGAATATTTGTTTTCATTATGGAGTTATTACATGTAGGGCTTGTGGGGCTTTTTTCAGGTATTTCTTAATAAAATTTAATTTAAAATAATACTTTCAAAAGGCGTTATCTTGAAAACGGAAATATATGGCAATGTAATTATAAATGTTTGCAAAGACAATTGTTAAAAAAGAATAAAGACGAAAACTACCAAATAAATTGGGCAAAATGTAAAAAATGTAGACTTGAAAAATGTTTTTCTGTTGGAATGAAAAAATTGGGTTTGTTAAGATATGGGTAACGCCCCGTCCCCCAAACACAGTTCGATCGGTTTATCGTCTTTTCTATCTGAAAATTTTGGTGACCCGAAAGTCAACCCCGACCAAACCTGGGTGAAACTCAAAATTTTTTTCGGACGAAACAAAACGGCATTAAACACTTTATTAGCCGACAATGACTTATAAATGCATGGTTTATTTACAACAATTGTGGTCACATAAGCTAGGCCCGTAGTTGGATGTAGAGTTCCGGTCCTTCAGTTCCGGTTAAACCGGAACTTTTTACCTTTATATAAGTGGCAACTCTTAATCATCTGATATCCTAAAAATCCCTTGATCACCACCTATATCCCGTCCTCCTTAATCATTCTAATATCCTCCTTAACTCCTCCTTCTCTATCTCCTCGATATCCCTTTTATCCCAAACATCTCATATCCAAATTCTTCGGCATCTCCTTTAAATTTTAAGCATATTTCTTCCATTTTCCAGTGCCGCAGGCGAAAATTTATGAATTTAGGAAGGCCATGAAGCGGAAATTCTTCTCTTCGCAGGCGAAAATTTTTTAAATTTTCAACAAAAGATGGTAAATTTTTTAGATTTTTCTTTAGTTTCGTCTTTAAAAAATTGTTTCATTTCGTTGAAAAATCACAGGTGTTTCGTAACGAAACGAAACGATACTTAAACAAACCCACGAAACATACGAAACAACAAAACGAAACGTTTCGCCCACGTATGATCCCGACCCACCATTTCGGCAAACCCCAACCCCGACACTCTCGACCACTCGGGACGTTCCCTAGTTATGATATTCAAAAATAATTTTAAAAAATAATCTTAGATGTCGGATATTTACGTCAAGATATATGCCTGGAAGCAATGAAAGAACAAGATAATGATATTAACGTAAATTTATTTTTTTAATTGGAAAGGGGAAGGGGATATTTTAAATTTTTTTTGAAACTTTTTCGATTGGCAATGTATTCTTTTTTCCATTAAAAAATTTTTCAAACTTAAAAGCTTGCATTAATAATTGAGCAGCAAATTAAACAAATCAAAATTTTCTTCATTTCAACGATTTTCCAAGACTTTATAATTTCCGGACTTGTTTTAACTTTTGTTTCAATTTTACTTTTAAGCTTCCTTTCCATAAATGGAAATTGAAGCGAAATTAAATTAAAACCTAAATGAAACCCTACAAAAGCAGAATATCTGGAAGCATTAAGTATTCTTCATAACATATGATACTTTCATGATACATGATAAAATGGTCTAAGCGAGGCCAAGAGTGGAGTAGCACGAGGTCGAGGTTTTTTGAAAGAAACCGAGGCCTATGATTCGCCAGGCTTGAAAAGCCGTGTCCGAGTGGCTGCTTTGAGGTTGAGGGGCTGTTTTGAATCCTTTCCCGAAGCTAAACTTTTGCTATACTCTTACCTTTTAAGCTTCCAACTCCTCCAACTGTCGACATATCCATTGATGATCAAAAACAAATTGAATCAATTTTGGCAATTATTGAAGCCAAAAAACGTATTATGCATTCATTAAATAATTTGGATGATGGTATATTCCTTAAAGGCCCGATTTTGTTTGAAGAAATAATTTTATCAAATTTAAATATTTGTAGTCTAATTGACTATCTTTCGGTAAATTTTAATTTAATTTTTAATAAAAATTAAATTTTTTAATTTTGAAGCGAAGATCAAATCCAATATCTTTTGGGGAATTAAATTGTTCGGAATTTTTAGTACAAAATGAGAGCATGCAAAACCAACTTTGTCACAAATATTTTTTAGTTGATAGATTATTGTGTGTTGGTATAGCCAAATCTATGCCTGTTTTTGAGAAATTGACTTTATCTGATCAGGTATATAATTAGTCTTGTTATAGGTGGATAAGTACCGTATTTCCTAAAATAAAGCCCCATGCTAAATTAGAGCCCCACTCTGAAATAGAACCCCACCCCACTTTTTTAAATCTAATTTATTCCAAATTAGTAAACAAAATTGTTAAGAGGTGAGTAAAAGGGGAGAGGGGTAGGATAAGTAAATGGATGTTAGTGAATTTGGAGATTAAAAGGGATATCGAGAGATTAAAATTAAGAGGGTTGGGGGAGCTAGACCTTCCTTAATATTGTAAGGCCGAGACCACCTGAAATCACTTGAAGAATAATTGCGCTCTAAATTTTGCGCTAAGTAACGGAAGTTCCCAGAGCAATCCGGAGTTTAGCAGAAACTGCCAGTCTGAGAAAAGCCGGTGAAGGAATTTAAGTGTCCATTCGGGGGATATTGAATGAGGCAAATTTAAAGGGATTAAAAGTGATTGTAATATTTGGGTGTGTAATCTGTCCGAAAAAGGATGTCAGTCAGTCGAGTGTCTGATTCGGAGGGAAGATGTCTCCCGATCGAAAACTCCCCTATATCCAGCGCTAGCCTATGTCCTATACTTTGCTGAGCTCACACAAGGACGCTTGCGAAACTCTAATCCAACAACCACATTTAGAAGGCATTAGGAAACGTGACCAACCGCTTTACTATTACATATTTATAAAGAGTCTAGGAGGGATAAAGGGATTTGAGCGAATAAAGTATTATTGGACATTAGTGTATTTTAGGGCGAAATTTTTGAGAACATTGGAAGGCCAAGGGTTCAAATTTCTTTATTCTCAACGCCGCAGACGAAACTTTTGGAAAGATAGCCAAGATCTTAAGCGGCAAAAATTACTGAAAATCGGAAATTTTTCCTAAATTTTGTAAATAAAAAGAATCTATTTTTCATTTTTGTAATTTGAAATAATTTGAAAAATAGGTTAAATTTAGAGCCCCATGCTAAATTAAAGCCCCACCCTAAAATAGAGCCCCACTTTGGAGGATAGTTGAAAAATAGAGCCCCATGGGGCTTTATTTTAGGAAATACGGTATTTGGGAATAGACCCAGAACAAAGCACAACCCCCTGTGCACCTAACCAATATTATGATGAGTTTCTGAAATTGTACGACCTTTAAATCGGATTGTTTCATAAAGCTAAGGGTCAACCCGGTACAATCTTGATACATATATTCTGGAGTGGGATTAGGATGGGATAGGATAATCTTGGGTTTTAAATCATTATCGAAATACAGTTAAATGACCAAAAAGACGAAAAAGTAAAGCTCGATTAATGCAAAACTTATTTTTCATTTTATAAATAGATTACACATCTACGGCATATTTCTTATATGTTTACTGCATTTACTGGCTCATACATAGCTTGGGAATTAGGCTCTGATACTTGGACACGTAAGGATTGTGTTATGCCTGCTCTTGGTGATATGAAAGATTGTGAATATTTATATCATGATCGGTAAATCTAAAAAAACATTGAAAATATTTTTTTTAATTTTTAGAAAAATTAAATGGTCGGAACTTTTATTTACAAAATCTGTTGCCCATTTTAAACGTGTTGCATTAACAAATATTGAATTTGCTTTGTTAATAGCTATTATTTTTACAAAATCAAGTAAAAACTTTAATTTGTAAAGACAACTACAGTGCTCCACATAACTATACTTCCACCTCAATTTTCGAGCTTTTTCTTTTTAGACCCCAAAATTTCTTTTAAATTATCGTTTAAATATTGTACCCAGGTAACTAAAAGACTAATAAAAAATCAATATTTAATTTTGGCTTAAAATTATTTGCGTTTTAAATATTTCGTTGAAAAACGCCTCCACATAACTATACTTCCACTTCCGGAAAAATTATTCCCAACATTAGGAAAAATCTACAAAAATTCCAGCAAACTTATATACTTATATCATAAAAAAATAAAAAGAAACTAGGCCAATATCTTTATCCTAAAACTAGATACTGATACCTTGAAAACCAACGTAAAATAGGGGTAAGCCTCTTTAAAAAATATTTTCGACCCCTCATGGATTACTGTAAATTTTGATTTTAGGCTCATTCGAAAGCCCTTGAGATTTGCTACAATTGAGCATCAATCATATTTTCCAGAAGAAATTTTAAAGAGAGAAACAGGCATTTAAACTTCTGATGCAGAAAAAAGCACATAAATGCCACATAAAATTCCCGTCAAGGTAGCTTACAAAGTTTAAATGCCTGTTTCTCTCTTTAAAATTTCTTCTGGAAAATATGATTGATGCTCAATTGTAGCAAATCTCAAGGGCTTTCGAATGAGCCTAAAATCAAAATTTACAGTAATCCATGAGGGGTCGAAAATATTTCTTAAAGAGGCTTACCCCTGTTTTACGTTGGTTTTAGAGGTATCCGGATCTCGTCTTAGGATAAAGATATTGGCCTAGTTTTTTTTTATTTTTTTATGATATAAGTATATAAGTTTGCTGGAATTTTTGTAGATTTTTCCTAATGTTGGGAATAATTTTTCCGGAAGTGGATATCCAATAAAGATATCTAACTTCCTTAAGAGTTTCACAATTTTTTATAAAATAATTCAGAAGTTATGACTGATGACTTCTACTGTCCTTTTTTATTAGCTTTTTAATTTTTAATTTAAATAAACTTTATAATTTTTCTAAAAGATGCTGAAGACCTGTCTCCCGTTGGAAAAGAATTACTTTATAACGAATCTGTTGAATTTACAAAAAGTTTACTTCAATATAATCAACAAAGATTAGGTTTAATTGAAGGGGCTCAAAGATTGGATGAATGTTTTCGTTTAATTAATGCAACTATTGAAAATGAACATTTTATGCGCTTAATCCTTTCTCGTCAACTTGAATGTTATCCTATGGATAGCTTTAAATTTTCCAATTTTTTTGAAAATTTCTTGAAAATAAGTGCTTATAATACTAAGAATCTTTGAAAAAAATTTTTTTTATTTTGAATAAAATTAATTTTTGTATGTAATTAAATTATTTGAATAGGTAAAATATTAATTTGAATATTTTATATTCGGATAAAGGGCTGTGCGTCATGGCGGTTGGCATCCATTTTTGGCCGATTTTGGCGTTTGGCGTGTTTTTATCTTTTGAAACCCGAAAATTTACAACCCAAATTATGAAGATTTTTGAAATAAATGCGAAGAGGATGATCAAAAAAAGAAAATAGGAAAAGTATACGGTAGTTTTCCTCTCCATTTCTACCTTGTTAAGGAGCAGGGTAGAAAATTTTTTTAAAAATTAAAAATCGAATTTTGAAGGAAAAATATAAATTAAATATTTTTAAATAGTTTGAAGTGTCCTCTATTTTTGACAAAATTTTTGGAATTTTCCCTTTTTTTACTCTATTGATGAGAATTTTTAACAAAAAGTACCTCATTTTTTACTGATTTTTTAAGAAGAAGTATTACCTTACGAGAAAATTCATAACTTTTAAAAAAATCTGTTAAAATTTTTGGTTTTATGCTTAATCATGGGTAACACTTCAATCTATATTTTGGCAAAAATATAAAATTTTTACCTCCATTTTAAAAAAAGTTATGATTTTTTCCCTAAATAGGGAGAAATGAGAAAAAACAGCGACGCCTAACCCGCGGCGTAGGGTCAACTCGGCGCTGCCATCTTCTTATCTTACGGGCCCTGATCTCCCGATATATGTTCAATTCCTTTGCTCTTTTTTAATCCCCCTATATACTTTAAATCCTCTTAATCTTTCCAAATCTTCTAATATGCTCCTTAATCCCTCTATATGTTCAAACTACATGTGTTGTAATTGCCTGTATCTTAGCGAGTTTTCGCGCCCCGCAGAAAATTCTTGCATATTTGGACTCAGCTCGGTGAGACGAATCGATTGTATATATTTTGAGTTTCGATCTCAGTGGACCTATAGTAAAGCGACCCCGATATATTCTCAGAAATCCCCTTATATCCTCAAATAACTTAATACCCACAAATCCCCTATAATTCTTCTAAACTTATTATATCATCAGATAGCTCCTCTAATTTTTCCGGATCCCTCTTAATTTCCAAATAAATTAACGAAAATAGAACCTCCTTTTTTGATTTAAAAAATTTTTCAGTGTGGGATGCAGGCATGACGCTAGCCAAAAAGCCGATGATGGCAAATAACCATTTTTAGATTAACGATAAGAAAAATTAATTTTCTTTTTCATTTAAATTTTTTGTGTTTAATTAGCTGTTTTGAATTAAAGTTTTTTAAATAAAATTTTATTTATAAAATAAAATATTAATTCACAAAAAGATGAGAGAGAAGCTTCGAAGTTAACTAAATTGATTAAATCCAAACATTCAAGTTTAATATCGCTCAACTTTCTGCTATTTAATTCTCATTTAGAAAAGTTATTTGTTTATTCAGCTAATAATGATACGAACCAAAACCAAAATTAAAGACGTGCGTATACATCAGAATCAAACATATAAATTTTAAATTTTAGTATATTGACAATTTTGCCAAAAAAAATTTTTTATATTTAATGAAATAAATAATTATAATATTTAGTATTAATTACTATTTTACACCATGTATTAGAAATATTTTTCTAAGTTACCAACTAATTAATTTAAGAGTGACTCCAAACCTTGATATACAAATATCGTTTCATTGGGTAATAATTAGGGTTGCTCTCGGTTAGTTAATCGAACCACACGCTCCCTGTTTTTTCAAACAATGAAAACCCGCTCACAAAATGGACACTTTTAATTTCATTATAGCCTTTTTTACTCATTTAACATTTTATATTTTTATATTCATTTTGTAGCCCCCCCCCCCCCCAATTCTCTTTCATAGCTTGTAAGCACGATTCGATTATTAACTTTTTTCCAAAGGTTTTTTAACATTACACAAATTTCCATGGTAGCACTTTCCAAGAACAATTAAAAATTCGGGTATGAAATAATCTATAGGGAAAATTTCTAAAATATGTTTAGGGGAGTAGGTACCAGAGCTGGGCTAATTTCACATTTCGCGTCTTTCGCATATTTTAGATTTTTCAACGCGGAAATTTTTGCGTTTCGTATTTCGCTTTATATTTTTTATTTCGCCCAGCCCAGATAGGTACGACTGTTGACTTTAAAAAACCCTCGTTCAGCACCCTAGAACATAAACATGATCAAATGCTGAGTTTACCTCATGAAGGTGTTTCGATAAAAACGGTTTGTCAATTAACTATTGGCAAAAAATTGCACTAAATTTTTTCACGCGCCTTCGTATCCAAGCAAAGTGTGAGCTTTAATATTTCCTTATAATATTTGTTCATTATTTATTTCTCTGTAATTAAAGTTTAACTTGTATAAAGTTATGTCATAAATAAAGTCTCAAGTTACTTTTGGGTTATCATATAATTTTAATTAGAAAAAGTAATAAATAATTTTAAAAAATGCAAAGAAATTTTATTAAACAATGCAAAGTTTGTGAGTCAAAAGTAAGTGTTTGTTTTCATTATGGAGTTTGCACATGTAGGGCGTGTGGGTCTTTTTTCAGGTATTTTTTAGGTTAAATTTAAAAAATTATTTCTCAAAAAGGCGTTATCTTTTAAACGAACATGCTTGGAAATATGATGAATGTAAATGTCCGAAAGAGGATAAAGTCGAAAACCCCCAAACAAATTTGGCAAAATGTAAAAAATGCAGACTTGAAAAGTGTCTTTCTGTTGGAATGAAAAAATTGGGTTCCTCAAAATATTTAAAAATTATGTGAAAAGAATTTTAGATGTTGGATATGTACGTCAAGATATATGCCGGTATGCAATGGAAGGAAAAGGGAACGAAATTAATGTAAAAGTCTTTTATTTGTTTAATAACGGCGAATCCGCACACGCGCATAGACATTTCTACCCAGTCGGAAGATCTCAACGGATACTGTAATCTCTCCATGAAAAAACGACATGTCCCAACTCCAAACGAAAATGCTGTTACAATTAGGAGTATTAAAATCCTCAATGAGAGGGAAAATCCTAAATCTAACTCAGAACGGTATTGAGACTTCCCTATTAGGATTTGGATGCACAGATATATTCTAAATTTAGTCTCTTCTCCGTTGTGGGGAAAAAAGCTTAAGTGAAGACGGCTCAACCCGTTCATTCAAAGAGCGCCCAAATAATAGTGATTCGCATAGTCGCGATAGTATTGAGTGTATCTTATACGAGGCTAATTTTATTTATTTTTAAGAATTCAAATCCTTCAATTGTCGAAATAACCATGAAAGATCTAAACCTAATAAACTCACTTTTACCAATTATTGAAGCCAAAAAACGTATTATGCATGCATTTAATGATTTGGATGATATATTCCTTAATGGCCCGATTTTGTTTGAAGAAATAATTTCATCAAATTTTAATATTTTTCGTTTAACTGGCACTTTTTCGGTAAATTTTAATTAAATTTTTAATGAAAATTAATTTTGTTTTAAAGCCAAATCCAGGTCCAATACCTTTTGATGAATTAAAAAGTTGGGAAGCTTCAGTACAAACTGAGGGAATTTTTAACAAACGTTGTCTCAAATATTTTTTAGTTAACAGACTTTTGAGTGCTGGTATAGCTAAATCTATCCCCGTTTTTGAGAAATTGACTTTATCTGATCAGGTGTTTTAACTATAGTTAGCGTAGAAACGGATTTTTATTGTAATAGAATAGCAAAATATGATAATAAAATATTGAAATACATTATTTTTTATTTGATACGGAAATGGGATATCCGTCCATACATCCGCAGATATCTTGCCATGATTTTTTCGCCCCGACACTAAGAAATTGTGAGAAATTAATGATTAGAACCGGATACCAATTCAAATCTTTGTTCCGATGCCGTTAATTTTCTAAACAGCTTCTTTTTGTTCCCAGACTCCGTGTGGAAAGTTAAGTATTAATATTTTAATAGATTGCACATCTAAGGCAGATTTGTCATTTGTTTACTTCATTTACAAACCCCTACTTAGCTTGGGAATTAGGCTCTGAAACTATGACACGTAAAGATAATATTATGCCTGCTCTTGGTTTTAAGAAGCAATTTTTGCATGATGATAAGTAAATATTTTTCTGATAATTTTTCTAATAATTCAAAAAAAGAATTTTCTGACTTTCAATTTTTAGAATGATTAAATGGTCAGAATTTATATTTACAAAATCTGTTGCCCATTTTAAACGTGCTTCATTAACAAAAGTTGAATTTGCTTTGTTAATAGCTATTATTTTTACGAAACCGGGTAAACACTTTAATTTAAATTATGTGCTATGGCCGGTAAAACCTACAATCCCGATAATCCTGTTCTGAAATTCTAAATTTAACGGGATCCCGCGGGTTTTTATATAAAAATTTTCGTAATAATATTGAGGATATTAGTTGATCTGAAGGGATTAAGGTAATTAAAAGAATATCTGGGTAAAGAGGATTTTTAGTAATAACGGTGGATTTAAAATTATTTGGAGAATAAGCTGGATTAAGGGGGATCTGTAGATCAAGGAAAGTTGTAGGGTTGCCAGCAGATTAAGTGTATCGATATTTCCTATCACCACAAATCCCTCATATCTTTCCAGATCGCTTTATATCCTCCTAATCCTTCGATATCTATCCAAATCTACCAATATCGCTTTAATCCCTTGTATTTAATTTTCCTTTAATCCCTCCACATCAGGGTTGGGCGTTGCGGATTGCGTGCAATTTTTCGACTTTTACATCTTGGAATTCCAAAATTTAAAAATTTCGCCTGCGGCGCTGAAAGAAGAAAGTTTACAATTTGAAGGACAAAAATTCAAATTAAATAATCTTTAATTTTTTCATATAAAGATGCTGAAGGATTGTCTCCCGAAGGGAAAGAATTACTTTATAACGAATCTATTAAATATACAAATATTTTACATCGATATAATCAACGAAGATTAGGTTTAATTGAAGGGGCTCAAAGATTGGATGAATGTTTTCGTTTAATTAATAAAAGTATTGAAAATGGTTATACTTGGCGTTTAATGCTTTATCATCAACAAAAATATTATTCAATGAATGTTAGTTACTTTAAATGTCCAAACTTTATGACAAAACTTTTGGAAAGAAGTGATTAAAGAATGAATAATTTTATTAAAAAATATCTATCTTTTACCCCTTCATTTTATTCAAAAAATGTTACTCTTATTGGTTGATTCTGTGGCGGAAAATAGTCAAATAAACTACAATTCTACATTTTATTACTCCTATTCTTATTTTTTAATTTTATTTTTTTACTTCATTTCTTCCGCATTTTCTATTGACCTCCATCAATAAACACTATTAATAAATTTATTTCGACTTTTAAAAGTTAATAAGCGTAAATTTCCTATGTACGATTCATAAATTTCCTACAAAATTGGAAAACATTTTTGGGGTATTAATTTTTTAAGTCCACTGTAATATAAGCCCATCGCTACACGATGGCCGTGCTTCGCTGCGGTCTTGCTCGCTTCGCTCGCGGCGACCGTAGCGAAGCGGCGGCCGTCGTTCTGCTCGACATGCCCGGCTTCCTCCGCAGCGGCAAAAACTTTTTTCCGCGAAAACCTTGTGGAAGGGGTGAATACAAACGATCATAACTTTGTCAAATCAAGTCAGATTTCGATGATTTTGGTGTGATTCGTCTCAGCTCGGCGACCCTTTCGAATGGGGCATAATTTGCATATTAGAATTTTTTACCCCAAAATTTTCAAATTTCGGGGGTCTGTAACTCGGCCATATGAAGTCGGGTTTCGTTTATTCTGGTGTCATTCGACTCAGCTTGATGAGATCTTTCGAATGAGGTATAATTTGCATTTTCGAATTTTTCACCCCAAAAAAGTGCTTGGTCCCCCCTATGGTTTTTCGATTTTCGGAGGCCTATATCTCAGCCCCTCTTTGACTATTTCGGCTCTGTTCGTTTTCCGAAATTATACCGATGGGTGTCCGGAAAATTGGGCTCTGGAAAATTGGGCTCCAAGATTTTTCGGAAAATTGGGCTCCAACTTTTCGGAAAATTGGGCTCCAGCGGAAATTTGGGCTCTTCGTGAAAAAAGCGGAATATTGGGCTCTAAAATTTTGGGCTCCAGAGGAATTTTGGGCTCTATGGAAAAAAGTCAAATTATGCAAAAAAGAGATGTTTGTATGGGGTACACGCCGATGTACCGGTCGCTTTGGTGGAACAACATCTCCCATTGATGGAACAACATCCCCCGTTGACCCCCGTCATTCTAACAACATCCTCCGTTGACGAAACAACTTCCCCTTTGACGGAACAACATCCCCCGTTGACCCCCGTCATTCTAACAACATCCCCCGTTGACGGAACAACTTCCCCGTTGACGGAACAACATCCCCCGTTGACCCCCGTCATTCTAACAACGTCCCCCATTGATATTGCATAATTTGACTTTTTTCCATAGAGCCCAAAATTCCTCTGGAGCCCAAAATTTTAGAGCCCAATATTCCGCTTTTTTCACGAAGAGCCCAAATTTCCGCTGGAGCCCAATTTTCCGAAAAGTTGGAGCCCAATTTTCCGAAAAATCTTGGAGCCCAATTTTCCAGAGCCCAATTTTCCGGCACTCATACCGATGAATAGGGAAAAGAAACAAGCTATCACATTTTTTCACTCTCTCTGCTTTCTTCACGTTTTCTTACAAAGAGGAAAAAAGAATGAACGAGGCACGAGGAAAAAAGAAGGGAGAAAAATGTTAGACACAATAAATAAAGAGGAGATGGGCATGTCAACAAAATCCGACTTGATTTGCCCGAAATACAGACCCCTGAAAATTGAACAACCACAGGGGCGAAAAACCATAAGGACGGAAATTTATATAAATGATAGCTCATTCGAATGAGCTCGTCGAGCTGAGTCGAATGACACAAAAATCGATGTATTCGGACAAGATTTGACAAAGATATGACATAATTCGTCGACTCCAGTAGGTCTAAATAATGTCATAACTTTGTCAAATCTTGTCCGATTTCATAGATTTTGGTGTCATTCGACACAGCTCGATGGGTTCTACAATTGTTGTACAGACTGACCATTTTTACATATTTTTCGAAAAAACTGACTGGGGGGGGAGTAAACAGTTTTTTAATTTCAAGAATCCCCCCTATGGTTGTTCAATTTTCGATTCAGCTCGACGAGCTCTTTCGACTTGTTTATTATATATAAAAACACTACCACCCTGGTTTATATTAACAATTAATTAGTAATTAATAGCTTAATTAATTCATTTTAAATTCCAAAATTGAAACTATTTTTTAAATTATTGATTATAAAAAATTAATTTTCGTTTCACTTAAATTTTTTGTTTAATTAGCTGTTTGGATAAATTTAAGTTTTTTAATTTAAATAGAATTTTGTTTATTAAATATAATTTTCTTTCCCAAAAAGATAAGAGAGAGCGTTTAGACGTTAACTAAATTGAGTAAATCCAATCATCCTTTTTTAAAAGTTGTTGGCAAGTTATGTTTAATAGCTTTAAATTATCTCTCTTTAATTTTTGTTTAGAAAATTTATTTGTTTATTTAGCTGATAATTTTTAAAAAACTTAAACAAAAATTGGATTCTGCCTTACCAAAATAATTCGCTTAATTTTTACTAACAACTAATTTTGCTTACAATTTTTTTATATTTAATGATATACCTATATAAAAATTATTTTAAAATCTAATATATACTAATTTAGTACCCCTTTTTCACGATAATAAAATTAATTTTTTTGTGTGAAATCTTTTTACTAGATGATATTTCTTGATAATCTATTTATTTATATTTATTTAAATATTTTTGTCAGAAAATACATATAGGGTTGTGTCTGTATTTTCAAGGCAAAGTATTAAAAATATAAAAAGCTATTTATATATGTGATAAAGGGCGAGAAGTAAGTAAAGATTAGGTTTTACAAGTGTGAAATATATGTACCGTATTTACACGATTAATTCCCCACCCTCGATTAATTCCCCACCCTCTATTAATTCCCCATGCCAGGGATGAGTTGAAAAAATAATTCCCCTCCCCCAAATACCCTACCTCACGTTCAAATTTCAAAACTCGAATAATTCCCCACCCTCTATTAATTCCCCATGCCACGGATGGGTTGAAAAAATAATTCCTCGGGGGAATTAATCGAGTAAATACGGTATGTAGGTTAAGAAAATGTTGATAAGAAGCTATAAAGAGAAATAAATTCAAATAATGTTTATTTTTATTATTTGAAAATAAATAATAAATAATCCTAAATCCAACACGTCTTCTCCACTGTCTATCAAAAATAATCAATTTATACGTGATCCGATCTTAAATTTAATCATTAATTATTAGCTAATTATGCAGTGTCACATTATAATAAATTTATATTATTTTTCTAGAAAAATGTATTATCTTTTAATTTTCGCGTATCTCTCTTTAATTGTTGCTTTGAAAATTTGTTTGTGTATTTAGCTGGTAATTCTTTATAAACTAAAACTGAAGCTGAATTCAGCCATACCAAAGTCATTCACACACACAATTTTGCCAACAATTTTTTTATATTTAATGAAATATAAAAAAATAATTTTAAAATCTAATATACACCAATTTATTATCCCTTTTTTATGATAATAAAATTTATTTGCTGTGTGTATGGGGTTGTATTCACATTAATTTTAATTTCTCCGAGATTTGCTTTGAGATCCAAAATATGTAGAAAGGTATAAAGTATGTGAAAGTTTGAAGGTGATTATGGATTAGCCGGGTTAGTAGGATCTAACTAGACTGAAAACTCCTCTTATCCAGAGTCTAACAAAAATAATTAATTTATATGTAACCCTATTTTCATGATAATAAATTTTATTTTTTCTATAAAAAATATACCAATTTATTTTAAAAATGGAAAGTAACTTCTTTAAACAATGCAAAGTTTGTGGGACAAAAGAAAATGTTTGTTTTCATTATGGAGTTCGTACATGTAGGTCTTGTGGGGCTTTTTTCAGGTATTTTTTATTTTTGTAATATTTTTTTTGAAAGAACTACTACTCCAGAGATGGGCCCTTTTGTATTTTTAAAAGCAAAAGATTGAAGAGATACCATTACTGGTACCTATGCCGCCCCCTCCTCCCTCAGTCCGCTTTTTCTTCTTGTACAGAAAAATAAAGTTTCCTTTCCTCCTCTTCATTTGGAGGAGGAGGAAGAAAAATAGAGTGGCCGGCCATTCTATTAGAGACTTTATGGTAATTAAAAATCCTTTAAAAGGCGTTATCTTGAAAACGAAACGAAACGCAAATATAAATGTAAATGTTTGTCAAAACAATTGTCAAATGAGAATAAAGACGGTAAATCCGAAACAAATTTGCCAAAATGTAGAAAATGTAGACTTGAAAAATGCCTTTCTGTTGGAATGAGAAGATTGAGTTTGTTAAATTTAGAGCTCTAACCTTTCAAATTGCCGGGCTCTTATCTGGGTACTTTGTTCATATCCTGCCCCTACCCCTATGTTAGTCTCAGATTAATTTTCCTTTTTTACTGTAAATCATTTATTTTTTTAATGCCAATGATTTTCTCCGTAAATATGGGAAACCCTAGCGCGCGGCCATAGCGATGCAGAGCCAAAACATGCTGGAATATTTTTGGCCCTTGTCATTTTTGGTATCAGTCTCTTTAGCTCGAATAGAGAAATCATTTAATATTAATTTTGGTAGGTTCTAAAATCTTGAAGTAAGTTGTGGCTCTGCGCCGTTATAGCTGCGTTTTTTTTTAAATTTTTTATTTATTTTTTTATCTGCGTTATGGCTGCGTGCCCTTTGGGAGAGAAAAATTGAAAGAGAAAATGATTTGTATCAGGGTTGCCGCCCAAAACCCGACGATACCCGAATTGAAAATTTTCCAACCCGAAACCCGTACCCCTATATGCAACATACATAGCTTGTCTCCTTACAATTTAGTTCATCAATACCGAACACCCGAAAATAACTCGAATTTTTCGTCAAACCCGAAACCCGTACCCGCACTTTTTTCCAACCCGAAACCCTTGACACGAAATGAAAACGCTCCAACCCGATACACGAAACCCGTACCCGAAGATTTTTTGTACCCGCGGCAACCCTGATTTGTATTCTATTAAAAAAGGAGGAAAATAAATTATTGACAGTAAAAAAGTAAAACTAATCAGAGACTCAAATAAGGGTGTGGGCAGATATAACAAAGTACACTTATCTGTGTTCTTTCAATCACGGGCCGGGGTTTTTTGAAAACACAAAACCTCGAAAGCACAAAAACCCTGATTTTATCATAATGCCGATTAATTTCCTAAAATTTTTAAAAGCGATCATTTATGGATGAAAAGTCCGTCCATTGACGAAAAGTATTGACGGAAAGTCCATTGACGGAAAGTCCGTTGACGAAAAGTCGGGGAGCCCTTTTTTTTTGCAAGAATTTCTAATAATATAGTCATTTAGGAAAAAGAATCACCACGTTCAGGGCTTTCAAATTACAAAAGAATGGGAAAGAAAACCGGACATCAGTCCGGTCATCTGAAAATACGGATTCGCTCCCAGTCGTCGATTAACCTTTTGCAATAGCTGAAAGGAGAAATGGCCATAGCCAGCCTATATTAATATTTTATTTGAATTTTACTAGTTTTCCTTTCATACATTCATTTATGTTAGGATGCTTTATTTTTTCAACAAAATCATTTTTTCAAACCGTAATTTACAAAATCGGATTTTTCAATAAATTGATGTTTTTCTACATAATTTTATAAAAGTTTTATTTGTTAAATTCTTCCAAAGTAACAATTTTCATAATATTTAATACAAAATTAATATTGTTTAAAAACTAATTTTATTAAAAAACTTTTAATTTTAACAATAAAACATTTTATAAATAAATTAAAAAAAATTTTTTTTTTATTTTTTTAATTCCCAATATCCCCAATCAATTATTAAAAAATTAAACATCTTCCCTCTCCTTCTCATTTTTATTCAATAAATAAAAATAAAATCCCATTTTAAAATTTTTGCCTCTGCCAGACTACCTGCGCATTTCCTCCCTTACTTCGCCCTCCACTATTCAGATTTTCTATCCAATTCCCCTCTCCTTATTCTCCCCCTCTTCCCCACATCTCCTCCTCCCCTAATTCTTCACTAACTATTGAAATTTTCTATTCAATTCCCCCATCCCTCTACTCCCCCCCCCCCCTTCCCCACATCTCCTCCTCCCCTATCCCTCCACTCTCATTTTTTAAAAAAATTTTTTAAATTGATTTTTAATATTTAATTGATTTTTATATATAAATTTAAAAAAAAATTATTTAATTATTTAAATTTTTAAACAAAACCCTCTTTGAAAAACAAATTTCAAATGAAAATATTAACTTCAAAGTTAATTTTACCTTTGTTATTTTTATTAGCATTAGATTTAAAAGGTTAATTTCCAAACAAATATATTTTTTAATTAATCTAATTTTAAAATCCTTAAACAAATTTAATTTTATTTAAGGATTGGATGCTGGTAATACTTGTCGAAAACAGAATTCGGCAGCTGTGGGAAGTCAACGATTGAACAATGGAAAGAAGCCGATGACAGCTAAAGAGGGAATTGGTGAAAAAATTTTGAGTAAAACTACATAGAGAACGTCCGAGTCGAGCGAGTTCGAGTTACTCGATTCGATCGCTCGGGTTACTAGACTACTCGAACTCGGCCAAAAAAGTTGAGCACAAAACTCGGGTTCTTCAAACTCGGATTACTCGAGCTCGGGTTTTCCCAATTACTCAGTACTCGACTTACTCTAATTAAAGCCCATATCCATGGCTTTCAAGAATATGCCGAATTTAAATATTGTAAATTTTTGAAAACAATGGGCACATTTAATTACTTAATAAAAATACTTATCAAAACGGAAAAATAAAATTCTTTAATCAACTTTTCCCATTTACCTTTTACGTAAAAACTTAATATTTAGCAGGAGCATCTTCCTCCCACCTAGCAGCAGATACAACAAGAGAATGTTATTGTGGGAAGAAAACAATTGTGGAAAAAATGACTTTTAATTTAAAAAATAAAGATAAAGAATTTGCTTCGACTGAATTATTTGTTGTAAAACCCCGAATATATAATGGGAAGAATGGAGAAGTAAAAATTTACCATGCAATATGGCCTGAAAAAGAAAGATGTGTTGCGATTAAATTTTTAATTAAAAATAGTGATGAAACGAAAGATGCTGTAAGAAAAGAAATTGCTGTTCTCGAACATTTTTATGGCCCTGGTGAAAACAAAAAGATTAATGGACCTATTCGCATTGTAGAATATTTTGGACAGTAAGCTCTTTTTGTATAGCTGAGTAATTCTAGCTTTATCATGTTTTTCACCTAATACCTTATAACTTGTATTAATTGCCCTACCTTAAATAATTACCCTACCTCAAATAATTACCCTCCCTTGATTAATTACTCCCTCCAGCGGAAGGTCGAAACAATAATTACCCAGGGTAGTTATTAAAGGATATATGGTAGTTCAAATTGGACATTCTTTGACAATTGTGAAAAACTTTGTTTTGAATTAAATAGAAAGTAATTGATATTATGTATTTAAGTTTAAGCACGGATGGTATCCGAGTACAAAATATATGTTTAGATATTTATAAAGATTTATACCGTAGTATGGTACGTTACTAAATTCTCGGCGCTAGTTTGAACACTTAATAAGACTTTAGAAAATGTTTTATCACTAAAATTATAGGTTTCAAAACTACACAAATTAAATTTCCGCATAACCGGCATAATAAAATGTAAAAATTTAACGCGTGAATTTTTTTTATGAATTTTCCCTTATGAAAGAACTTATCTACTACATACATCTTTTTCATATTTTAATTTTTTAAGTGAGGAAAAAACAATGCAAATTGGCAATCAGAGCCATGAATTTGAATCAATTGTCTTAGAACTTGGAGAAATGAATTTATTAAAATATTATAATGAGAGTATCAAGGGTCAAAAGAATAAAGTTAAACATTTAACCGAAATTCTAATAAGTGCGGCTGAAGCACTCAAGCAATTACATGATGGTAGAAATTTATTTTAATTTAGTTAACAAGCCTTTGTTCACAGCCTTGAAGCTTTGAACAAAGACGCTTGTTGTAACTCTATGCATGAAAAGCACATTCTTAGCCCTAGACTAGATTATCTACTTAGCTATTCGGTGGCCCCAAAGTGATCGCATCTTTTTGTAGGACCACAAACTTTTGTTGAGTTTTACTTATTTTTTGCCTAGTACTTTGTAAATTCTTTTACTTGAAAATGCAAAAATTTTAACGACTTTCTGTAGTTGATTTTATTCTGTAAGTAGATCAAGAAAAAATTTCTATTAGCTAAATAGAAAAAATCTTTTGTAGAAAACTATGTACATTTGGATATAAAGCCTGAAAATTTTGTTAGAACTGGTAAAAGGGAACAAAATAAACCTCCTGTATTCAAACTGATTGATTTTGGTACTAGTGAATTTATGGAAAATTTTGAAATAATAAACATATCAAAGGAAATATTAGGGACAAATATGTACATTGCTCCAGAAATTGATAGAAATGAAAGTAACAAGGTAAATTTATGTAGATTATTTAGCATCAGGGTGCTGATTTTACCCTATTTATAGGGCATTTGCCCTATTTTTGAACTTTTCGCCCTATTTTTTCCCTATTTTTTCATTTGCCATATTTTTGCCCTATTTTTACAATTTTGTAATATTTTTAGTTTCTTTAGGATTTTGTAAATAAAATGTTAAAAAATGAAGAAATATGACACTTGGACATCAAAAATTCTTAAAATTTTTGCCTGCGGCGCTGAAAATGGAAGAAATTTTGTGATATGACCTTCCAAAATTTTCAAAAATTTCGCCTTATCGGCTTATTATGAGAGGCCGCAAGAAAGGATCACGTACGGGATTTTGGGAATTGTCGGTTCCAAATTCGGATATCCTAAATTGGTCTCGACTCACGGTTCCGATTTTCGAGATTATTTTTTCGAATTTCGATTTAAAAGATTTTTAAAATTATTTTCATGATATTTTCTAAATGTTTTTGATTTACGATCTTCAAAAAATATTTTTTAGAAACAACTCGATCCCTATGTGCTAATTTATTTAAAAGTAGTGAAAATATGCAGATAAGGCTTTTTATTTGAGATTTTAATTAATTTTTAAAATCATGCCCTATTTTTTGCCCTATTTTTGACCAATTTTGCCCTATTTTTGCCACATTTCTGAGTGGCTGCGCCCTATTTTAGTGGTTTGAAATCGGTCACCCTGTTTAGCATGGTAAATGATAACTCGTTTTCACTCTTTTGCAAGAGGTTGTTCGCACGTAATAAGCCTTTAATTTGTTGCATTCTGCTTTTGCTTCTCCTTCCCTTATTTTCTCAGTTTATCAAATGATTGTGACAGTTTGGCATAATTTCTTCGACCATTCATTCTTTAATTACTATTGTCTCTAATAATTATAATAATTTACCGTCTCAATTTTATATAACTCCAAACATACAATCTCATTTTAAAAGTAAAATTTTCAATTTTTGTTTTACCTATAAAATTCCATCCCCAATGGCTAATGGAAAATGCCTGATGGTATTCGTATTTCCCCATAAATCTTTTAGGATATATTGTGATTACAATGGGAGATGACAGAAAAATTTTTACAACAAAAGGAAAAAAATATTTTTAGGTATCTAAGAAAGCAGATATTTACTCATTTGGAGTAATTATATACAAGTTGATATACAGTCCGCGAAAATATATTCAAAAAATGGATTTGAAAGTTCTTGGAAAACGTGGACAGAATTTTAAGCACTTGAATCATCTTATTGAGGCAAGTGTGACAGATTGGATTTTACGATCTTTATAAAATAAATCTAAAAGTCCCGAGTATTCTTCCCTCCAATCAGAAATAAAGGGAGACTACAATTATAGCTGGATACCTAAAACAATATTTTTTTAATGTTTAGATTCGTAAGTTTGAAATGAGCTTTCCTAAATATTGGACTGTCTTAGAGCAATTGTCTGACTATTCTTTTTTAATATCCAGCTAACTAATCGTTTGGGCAAAAAACTTATAGTGAATAAAGTCCGTCCCAAAAACCTCGACACCCCCAATAAAGTAAATATTCTTAGAATGTTTATTACTTCACTTTCCTACTATCCTACTTTCCTACTATCACTTTCCTACTATCTAAATCTATATTTCTATAATTTATCCACTGCTATTTGGCCCGGAACTCAGTTTATTTTCTTTTAGAATGGTGAAAGATTTATAAATTTACAATAAGTAAAAACGGTATTTCAGATGTGCACAAATCCAAAACTCGATTCTCGCCCAACAATTGAAGAAGTTCTTGAAATTCTTAAGGAAGAATTGACGAAGTTTAAGTAAAGAGAGAGCAACTATTATGTAAACAAACTTGTACATAAAAGGGATGCCAAAATAGATATAATTTAGAAAAATTTTCTTTTATGTCATACATATAACATAACTCGTTATTATAGCTAAAGCCTTTACTATATGTTTTTTACTAAACTTTTATTACAGATTTCTGATTTTGTTTTGGTTTTTTGATTTATTATTAGTAAACAATTATTATTTGAAAAATTTTATATAAGAAATATTTCTTATATTTTATTTAAATATTTTATTTTTATATATTTTATAAAATATTCAACCAAAATCAGTCATTGTTTAAATTAGAGTAGGACAAAGCCGGTTTTTCCTTATTTTTTATTTTTCCTTCCTTTTAGCCTCAACCCCATCTGTTTTGAAACAGTATGGAGGGTAGGAGGCCAACCTACCGCTGACCAACCTGCCCGTAATTGGGCAGATCGGCAGTAGTTTAGATGGGCACCAGAGGTGGGTCGGAACAGTCAGAGGTGTCGGAAATCGGAACTGTCGGAAATCGGAAATGGCTCAAAAGTCGGAACTCGGAAATCGGAAATCAAAATTTTTTTTCGGAAATCGGAAATCGGAAGGAAAAAAACGCCGGAAATCGGAAATCGGAAGGCGGAAATCGGAAATAAAATTTTTATTTTTATAACTGAAATAATATTTAAAATTGTAAGGTGGCAAATTTTGGCCTTCTTGAGTGTAGTTTGAGTGAGTAAATGTTCTTTTTGCAACTCAAGAGTCAAATTCGAAGGGATTAAAAGAGATATTGTGGGATTTTGGTGATTAGACGGGATATTAGACCAGATCACCTCACCAAATCACCAATTTACCACCCATACTTCTCTCTTGCCTCACGGCCTTCCAAAATTACGAAAGTGACCGGGATCAGGGGTGAGGATATCAGGGGATATTGAAGGATACAGGGGATCTGCGCTCCAGATCAGAGACTCCTGCTCGAAATACAGAGCTAAAGTTTTTAAGAGCCGCACAATGATCGAAGACTCAATCCCTCGATATCACACCCAGATCCTATGACCCCTAGAAATCACACGATATAACTCTAAGTCCACCTTAATCCATCCTAATCCTACGATATACCATTCAACTATTATTTACAGCGCCGCAGGCAAAATTTTGGGATTTTTGGAAAATCCTTAAGCCAAAAATCATTCATTTTTTGCGCCGCAGGCTAAAATTTTGAGAATTTTGGATGATCCTTAAGCCAAAGATCTTCCATTTTTTGCGCCGCAGGCAAAAATTTTGAGAATTATAGAAAGCTAGAAGCCAGATTTCTTCCTTTCTCAGCGCCGCAGGCGAAAATTTTAAAATTTTGGAAAAATTGTTAGTCGGAAATATGCCTTAAAAATTGTCGGAAATCGGAAATTTTCCCAAAATTTCGGAAATCGGAAATCGGAAATCGGAAGGAAAAAAACGTCGGAAATCGGAAATCGGAAGTCGGAAATCGGAATTCCGACCCACCTCTGATGGGCACTATATTTCATCATTTTTAAATTGGCAAATAAACATGATTGTTGACATTTAATAGTGCAAAATAAATACACGTAATGTATAGATTTTTTAAGTCTCTAAATTTGCCCTTTATTTCTCAATCTTTATTAGCCTCTCTCATTTATTTTTACCCTCCATTAAATGAATCGGCTGACATAAAAAAAGATTATTTTATTTAATTTTTATATAATATTTTAAAATCAACTTTAATAATTAATTTTATTAATTTTTTTGGAAAATGTATTTTAAATTAATTATTTTCATTTCTTTTTTTCTGGTGGGGTTTTTCAAATTTTCGATTGGAACTGAGTTTAAAATCGAGCCAAATGAAGAAGGAACTTCTAGAGGAGATTTTGATACAAAAACGATTAAAGGACAAGTAGTTGAGGAG